TTCAGGCTCTGATCTGGTCTTTTAGAGTGATCACTGTCTTTTAAAGGCACTGGCCCGTATTTTGACAGTTTCTCATCAGTGCTCAACCTCTGGCTTCCTTTTCTTTCTTTCTTCTCTCTTTTTAAAATTTCATTTGTGTGTGTGTGTGTGTGTGTGTGTGTGTGTGTGTGTTGTACTCATACCACAACACACGTGTGGAGGTCAGAAGACAACCTTTGGGAGTATATTCTCTCCTTCCACCATGTGGGTTCTAGTGATTGAACTCAGGTCATCAAACTTGGCAGTAAGTGCCTGTATTTGCTAAGCCATCTCACCAGTACAATTTCAGTTTTAAATGTTCTGAATATGAGGCTTTTAAAAATCATTAAAACTTTTCTTGAAGTGAGTCATTGACCTTAAACCTACCTTTTAAGTCTGAGTCTTAATCGGTTGATTCTCAGCTCAGGAATGAAGTATTTTAGTTGATGAAATTTCCTTTTTTAGTAACCACATTTGGACTGTTTCTATCCTGGAGCAGACCAAAGCCAGCTTAATCCAATCTTATCTCTATTTTCAGTTTATACGGTTCAACAGTGCCCCAAAGGAACACTGACTATCAAAACCCAAACATTGAAAGGTCTGAGTCTGGGTACACAGGGCCTGCAGGCCACAGGCTGCTCCCGGGCAGCATAGTTGAACAGGGTCCTTAGTCTCTGGGCTATGTGTCCCTGGAGCCACAGGGTGGTCTCCAAGTACTCATCTATTGTTTTCTGCCATTTCTACTCCCGGCAGCAGTGAATGCCATCTAGGAAGCAGAGAGGCCGGAGAAGGCTCAGGGGCACAGCGCTGGTAGAGCAGCCAGGTTCTGTGAATGGAGTATCAATTACCTGACCTGACACTTCCGTGGCCTGCTTGACAGCGCTCCCTTCATTATCCAATTTCAGCTACCCAATCCTGGGCCATACCCCAGACCATCTCCTGGAAACCTAACCTCCAAATGTCTTAACCCTCCCAGTCAGTGCTCTTGTTTTTCCGGTTTTCTCTCTCATTAGCTCCCACTAAACCTTAAGCCCTGCAAAACAGGCTCCTTGGCGTCACCCAGTCCTTCCTTCTGTCAGCTCTTTTCTGACCTGAGTCCCTTCCTTACCCATACGGGTCTCATAGCCCACACACGACCTACTGTCTTCCCAGCACCTTCAGGTCTCTGCATCTTTCTGCTCACAGCCCAGCTTGCCTCATAATGTCCCAGTTCGGCATCCCTCTAACCATTCAGCCTCCTGCCCAGGTTGCACACGGTTGAACACAGAGGAGGAAATCACATCAGTAAGCGACCACAACTAAGTGACTTCTAGCCTAAGCTGTGTCACTCTGGACTTCTTTTTCTTTCCTTTGCTCACCTATCAGACCCTTTTCTTGTTCAATAATTCCAAGCCTTCTTTAAGCCCCACTCCAGTTCCCACCTGGAGTGATATGCAAATGACAGTGTCATCTGCTAATTTCATGGCGGAATGAAAAGCCACTGGTTGGAATTCTCTTTGTTTGCTCGAGGAGAAATAATCAGCTAGGCTGAGTGTCAAATTTAATGGGCACTCCCTCACCCTTTCCTACTAGAATTAAAGTCAGAGAGGCACATCTGGGAGAGGAACATTTCAGCTTCCAGAGACAGTGCACACGCAAACACGGCGCTAGCCTGGAACCACGGCATAAAGGAAGTACAGAAGTGCAGAGCACACCAGAGCAAGCGGCACCAGAGGCTGTTGGGAGACTGGGAGGAGAGTCGCACAGCTGAAGCTTCTGGGCTTTGATTTTCTTTCTCCCTCCACTGTCTCCTAATGTCACTTCTGCTCCATTAAAAAATTGTGGCCGGGATGTAGCTCAGTGGTGGAGTACTTGACTAGGATGTACAAGGTCCTGAGTTCAGTCCTCAGCACTGAGAAAAATAATGTGGTCAAATGCACATAACCTCATTTAAAGCCTTTATGTACACAATTGGGTGGTACTAAGCTCATTCACATCTCTACTTTCTATGTACATGACTTAAAAAAAATAAATCTTACAAAATTGAGTTTATCTAGCCATAAAGCAAGAAAGGCACTGCCAGGTCAGTGAGATAGCTTTGCAGGTAAAAGTGCTGGCTATGCAAGTCCAATGACCTGAGTTCTATCCCTGGAACTCACATGAAGAAGGAGGAGGGGGGGAGGGGGAG